TATATATATATATATATGTTTTTTTCGCTTTCCTTTGAATAAATATCGTTTTAATTTAATAAAATAGACGATTAAAGTTTCTCAATGAGAGAATAATTAAAGATATAAAGTTCCTGATTCATTTGTTTGGATTATTTGTCAGGATAATTTGTTTAAAAGTTGTAAGATTCTTCGATTCAGTTGCGTCGATGAAAAAGATTTTTCTTTTTATTTTACTTGCTCGGTTAGCGAACTTGTGGAAGCCGGCCAGCGGTTACATCCACAATCCTCCGTCGGATTTCCTTTATTAATTGCATAAGGTGTCTAGAGAGAGTCAAAGTTTGATTCTCGATCGCTGGTCTGAAAAAATTGTTTTTCATAATTAGATATTCGTAAAAAATTGTTTCAAATTAAAATTAAAAAAAAAATAATTGAAGATTTATTGATATAAGAAGGAAGAAAAAATGTAAAATTGGAATTCAAAAAAAAAAATATCAATGAATATAAATTTATTAATTACGAAAGAATTATAAAAAATTTATTTTACAAACTAAAAAAGTGAAAAAGGAAAGAAAATTGAAATTATTTATTGGACGATTTAGAAGTTATTCAATAAAAGTAAAATTTAACCTATAATCAATATAAATCAAATTTTATCTAAATTAATGTACAGTTAACAAATAAATTAAATTATTATTTTCATGTATATATTATAAATTTTTTTGTAGTATTGCATACGAAAAATCATTTATATTATATATGATATATTATATTATAGAAAGATATAGAAGAAATGAAGAAATATATTGCAATTATACGCAGATTTTACTTGCTAATTACTTCTAATACAGATTCATTTTAGAAGTTTATAAAAAAAATATATTCCTTTGCGATAAATAAATATTGTGTTCTTAAAAATATCCGAAGTGTTTCTACATCTAATACATTAATATTTTTAAAAACTTTAATCATATCATTTTTAATGTTTCATATTGATTATCTTCAATTAGTTATTCAATTATATGATCATTTATAATTCATATACATAAACAAAAGGAACAAAATTGAAGAGAAAAATATAAAACTCAAATTTCGTTCTTAACTCACCCTGTCCGGGCTATAAAGAGGCGGATGTTGCGCCGGAAGTCTCAGCGTGCTTCCCAGATCCCTCTCGGCCATTGTGTGTCCTTCGCTGGCACTGTCTCTTGTGTCTCTGTTATCTCTGGCATCCTTAACGCTATTCCTTTTAGTATCTGCGACTTTCGTCAACGGTTGAATCGTCGTTTCACCGCAGGATCTGGCCAGAGTCGAACCAGCTTCGCCTAAATCGAGCCTCAACAGCTTCGTCGGTGCTTGGATGGTTGTCTCGCCACAGGAACGAGTCAACGTAGAGCACAAGTCACCTTGGAGATCCCCGGTTCGCAACACTTTCGTTGCTGTTTCTACCGTAGTTTCGCCGCAGGAACGAGCTAACGTTGAATCGGTGTCCATTTGACGAGTTACCGTCGCGGACACCTGGAAAAATATTTTTATATAAAAATTATATCGATACAGATATTAAGAAATATTTCAAACAATAGTTCGAATAATTCGAAAGGAAACGTTATTTGATACGTTATAAGAGATTTTTTTTTGTTAAATTAAACTATAAGAAATGTGTAAACGTCAATTTT